GCTGTTAAACTCAAGTTGTTTATTTATTTATTGTTTTCACAGGCTAGACGATTGATATCTCCTCCAATGACAGAACATTTAACCTACAATCCCAATTCTTCTCTTTCACCTATATTGATTGCATCATCAGTTATTATTAACCAAACACAATCCACAATAGCGACGAAAATATGCAAAATTTTGTTTAGTAAATTATAATTATTTCACGATCCATATCTTGTCGCTTCAACCAAAAATCGGCAGTTTGATACAAAATATGTTCGTTAGGAGTCTAGAATCCTTTTCTGCAGTGGAATTACTTAAGGCTTCGTACAAAATTTCCAGAAAATTTGCATTCGCATTTCTCTGTTACTTTTACTTTTTGATGATGTAAAAGCACTGAAAAGTTCATTAGAAGAAACAGAATATGTCGCAATATCTAGGTACTACTGCTGTCAACTGAGATTTCCTGTTTTGTCTTTCCCTACTTTTCAGTTTTGTTTTTCTCTTCTTGGCATTTTGCTATTAATGATTGATGCAGCTAAGCAAACTTCACTCCTATTTATTCTTTTCGACCACTTAAATTTTAATTTTTGGATGTTTTAATGACTTTTCTTGAAGAAAAGTCGGCATTCCTTTTTCGCAATTGCGTCTTACAATTTAGTAGTAACTGTGGAATTTTCTGCTGTCTGACGTATTGTTTTAATAGTGTACTACATTCAGTTTTTTTTAGATCTACGGTCACAATACTTCGAAGTCTTCTTCAGTCTGAACCGAAAAATCTTCACAGATCTTCTGATAGCTTAACTCAACGGTAAGATGACACTAGGTTCGTTTTAGTTTACTGCTACTTTAACATTTTGCTTTATTAAAACAAAACCGTGTGTGCATGAGGAAAAAAACCTTACATAAATAATAATTTTTGGAGATGTTAATGTGGAGTAATTGCCTTAAAACTCAAGCTGGTTTTTGCTTTGAATTTAAAATTAATTCTAGCGCCGTTTTTCTAAGCACGTTGTACTTTTTAACATTGTTGCCAATTAGTATTACACAAGGTTTACATATACTTCCGGATAGATCCATTAAACGTATGCCTAACTTTGTTTTTACGTTGTCGTTTATGTCAAACGTAAAGCAACCTTAACTTACAATATCTGTCATAATTAATTGGATGAAAAGATCGGCTCTTGATAGAAACTTATCGACTTTAGTGGCACATTTTTTTCACAAATAATTTAATTTTTTCAGGAATTTTTACGTATTTGTTAGACATATATTTACAGAGAAAATCATTTTTGAAACAAGTTTAATACATTAATGGAATTTGGATGTATTGTTGGTTGCATAACAATATTCTAATGACAGTTTAATAAACGTTGAAATTTTCATAAAACAAAGCAGGTTATTATTAGTATTACCATAGAATACACTATAGAAGCGAGAGTTTCGACATTAACGACACCCAATCTAAGCGCTTTAGCCCTAATTTTATCAGAAAATACTTTGAGGCGAAATTTATGTCTAATACAAATTCAGAATGCGTTACGTAGAGCTGACTTATGTATGTTGTGCAAAATTTTAATTTGCCTCGATCCTTGCTTTATTTACTACTCGTCTGCTTTCGCTGACCTGCTTTTTTTTTAAACAAACAAAAACAATTTGATGGGAGATATTTTAAATTGTTCCACTATATCTTTTTAGATCCAATGCTTACCCATCTGACTATAAGGAAAGGCCCTACACCTGCACTGTGTGTTCCAAAACTTACGCAACCTGGAGACAATATTCAAGACACATGCTCTACCACAAAGGCAGACGTTTCCCATGTAATTTCTGCGACAAGATGTTTTTCTCGCGGTTCGTTCGAGATCTTCACATTGCCTCACGCCATGAAAACAAGCGCAATTTTCCTTGCAACTTGTGTGACTACAAAGGAAATAGTGCCCATCATCTTAAAGTACATTTTACATACATGCATGTAAAAGACTTTAGTCACAAGTGCGATACATGTGGAAAAGGATTTCGTACCAGATTTGCAGCACTTACGCACCAACAGTCCAAACACGAGGGTATACATTATATATGTGAAATTTGCAAGAGAATGTACAAGTGTGAATCGCACTACAAAACCCACATGAAAAGACATTCTACTGACGCCGGTGAAAATAAATTCGTTTGTGAACTTTGTTCCAGACGGTGTCATGACGAAAGGGACTTAAGACGACATGTGAAATGTCACGTAGACCCTGGAGAACCCAAAGTGTGCGATGTTTGTGGTAAATTTTACAAGTCACTGCAAGCCCATAGACGAACACATAATGGAGAGAAACATCACGTGTGTGATGTGTGCGGGAAGACTTTTGCAAGTAGATATAGCCTACGAATTCACATTCGCATTCATACTAATGAAAAACCGTACAGTTGTCAATTCTGTGGGAAGGCTTTTACACAGCGTAGCCCACTTACAATACATGAAAGGTTGCATACTGGCGAAAAACCGTATAAATGTGACATTTGTAATAAGGGATTTATTTCTAAAAGCGCATTAAAGAGCCACGTTTGTCAGGGTCCTCGTGATTAGTGTAGCCATAGTTGATAGTTGTTGTTACTATTATCCAGTAGTTAGTACCTCTGTGGAAAACTTTTTACGGACTTGTCTTTAATAAAAATCTTACACCTTTATATGTTGCTTAATTCAAAAGTGCTATAGACAGCTTTGCAAAAAGAATTGTGCCTGCTGTTTTAGCTGAAGATAAATATTAATTGATTGTCTTAGGGAGGTAGAAAAATACCAACTATATGTTGTAACATATTGTGAATTTAATTTTGTAATAAATTACTCCCCTATATTTTTTGGGTTAGAAGAAACAGAACTCTGCATTTCTGTGGTAGTGTTTTAACTCTTCATATTTTGCAGATCATCGACCGAAATGAAGTTCAGGTATAGTAACAGCAATCAAACTGGAGAAATTACATTTGTGGCCGTTGATGGTGGATTATCAGACACGGAAGAACAATCGTCTTATGTATTAGCACCGAAAGCACAATCGAAACCTCAGACTCAGAAGTTACCTTCAGTAAAATCAGTATCGAGTTTAAAAGCTTCACCGTTGTTCCTTCAAACAATACAAGTTGTACCATCTCCAAAAATTTCAACAATACCACTACAGGTACAACTACCGCAAGCTACAAAGTTTTTCACATCTCCACAAACACGGCCGCTGGTGCATGTACCAACGTTAGTAAATGCTTCAACGTCATCATTAGCAGCACCGCTACAATCACAACTAGTACAAGGGTTAAACGTAGCACACTTTCAACCAAAATCAACACAATTTTCAAAATTTAGATCGTTAGCAGAAAAACCAAAAGTCTCAATGGCACCATCACAGGTTTCAAAGTTGCTGCAATTCAAAGCCCATCCACTGTCGCAAATGCAAGCAGCACCACTACAAAAAGAACAACCGTCACCAGCGACCTCTCATCTCCCTCAAGGGGCACGAGTGTCATGGGTACCCTTATCAAGCCCACTTAATTCTGAAAATGCGAAGAAAAAATACATTCTCGTATATCGTACGCGAGAAAGTTCTGCTACAATTGATACTACGTTGACCAACGGTGGTACTTACCGGAAACTACCTTCTCCAAAAATAGACGTGAATTATACGACAGATGATTCTTCAGATGTGATTTTACCACAAATAACATCTGTAATAAAAAAGAGCTTTTTAAAAGTCGTCAAATGTAGAACTTGTTCACAGCAGTTTCCATCGAAGATTGGTTTTCAAATTCACAAGAGTCTATTTCACAGAAATAACATTATATCGTCGCTATGTGAAGTTTGCGGTAAACTTTTCCAAAACAAATTCAGTATGGCTTCTTTAAAATCTCACCTACAAACACAACACGGTGGTCCTTTGAAACCTGTTTCCATGAACTGCAATCTTTGCAGTAAGCATTTCACGTCGAGGGGGGGTTTACGAAGACATGTTGAGGTTTTTCATAAGGGTGTTCTACGTCTGTGTGAGATTTGCGGTAAAAAATTTACGTCGCTATCTAGTTTGAAGAGTCATGAACGAAACCATAGAGGGGAGAAACCGTTTCCTTGTAAATATTGTAAGAAACCGTTTGTAGATAAGAAGCTTTTAATAGTGCACGAACGAGTTCATACTAAAGAAAAGCCGTATGTGTGTCAACTGTGTTCAAATAGCTATTCACAGATAACTTCTTTAAAGGTTCATGTTAGTACCGCACATGGTAAGGAAAGACCGTTTGCGTGTCTAGTTTGCTCAAAAAGGTTTGTTATTAAGTCTTTACTTAATTCGCATATGAAGATTCATGCTAATAAATCTGTGTAATTGTTTATTTGTATAAATAATAAAAACTTTTTGACATGTTTGTTGTTTTACTGTTGTTTTGAAAAATAGGCTGTTTTACCTACCTCAGATGACACTTGTGATAACCCAAACCTTCCGCCAAAAATTGTCATGTGAACAAAATTTGAAAAGTGGCCATGAACGATGATCATCTAGTGTGGGGTTTGAAATGGCGGAATGTGTTCCGATACAAATTGACGCAATCCGGAGCGGGAAGAGTGTAGGAAGTCAAAGTCAGCACTGATGGGAAACATCTTTTATTTAAATCGGACAAAGTATTTAGAATGCTAAATGAAGTTAATATATACCACAGCAACAAGCAAATTGCCGAAAAGGTGCTTCCTCCTTTCACAGAAGGGAAAATCTATGAATAGTTCTAGCGGTCCTAGGTTCCTAGCTGCAAAACCCCTGTATCTTTTAATCCAATCAAATCAAGGTTACAAATCCAAATACAAATATTTCAAATACTGTGAGTGACATACAAAAATTAAGTGAGCAAAATCTTAGTTAAGATAAATAGATGGCGATGCCCCGACTATTAAAATGTCGTGGTGGCAAATTTTGTTATTGACAACCGACAAAAAAAAAAATGTAAACCCAGCAATTTAAAAAGTCTCTTTGCACGAACCACAACTACCTATAACCATGCCGCGGTGCCCTCACAAGCTCCCACTGTGTTCGCTGGTACCTGAAGCGGCTGCTTTATGTTTAATTCCGTAACTATACTCCATCCCTCGCCTGAGAAACAGAGTTTGCTCTCCCCCCAGTAGAGTTTCCTTTATCAGCAGGCCATCTTTCAGAAGTGCCCACGTCAGTGGAGTCCGGTATTGCATGCAGTGATGTGTTAGTTTAACAATTCTGCTAAATTTGAGGGATTAATAGAGCTTCATAAGGTTAAAAGTCTTTAATACATTTTTTTTTCGTATTTGCAGTATGCGGCAGTAACTCGTACCGTAATTCGACCAATTTTACTGTGAAAATTGTAGACGTGTGAGGTGGTACATTATCATGATGAAACAGGACTTTACAAGACAGTAAGTCTACATAACACTACCCCGTCATTGTCCTGCCCTTTTCTAAATATTCTGTGAAAATGATACCTTACGAATTCTATAAAAGAGTGGCCATAAGTTTTCAGATCGAAGGAATCGTTTTCGCCTTCTTTGGAACAAGCTCTCCTGGTAAAGTCCGTTGTTTTGACTGTTCCTTCGTTTCTGAAGTGTAATGGTGGATTCAAGTTTTATCAACAGTCACTGATTTTGGCAAATGAGATAGCCTCTAAGAAAAGAGAAGGCGGGTGGGCGGGGCTAGTACCTGCTAAGATAAGAGTGATTTTGGCAAATAATATAGCCTGTAAGAAAAGAGAAGGTGGGTGGGTGGGGCTAGTAGTTGCTAAAATAAGACCGGTTTTGGCAAATGACATACCTTCTAAGAAAAGGGAGGGTGGGTGGGCAGAGATAGTAGGTCCCAAGATAAGACTGATTTTGGCAAATGAGATACCCTCTAAGAAAAGAGAGGGCGGGTGGGCGGGGCTAGTAGTTGCTAAAATAAGACCGATTTTGGCAAATGACACAAAATAAAGAGTAAAGTATGTATCATTTGGCAAAATCAGTCTTATGTTGGCAAGTATTGGTAGAAAAAACTGTTATATCTATAGAAACATAGATAATGCAGTGTCCCTATTGGTGATTGTGTACGTTAACGTAAAATACGTTGTACGGAACGTAATTTCGCTAATTGCCTAAAATAATAATTGTCAACGTAAACGCGCGGCCTTGAGGTTTGCTGCAACTCAAGACACGCACATCTATGACGCCAGGACTCCCCGATGTCTGCGCCCTACTTATGAGATATAACAAAAAAAAATAATAAAAACAAAACAAGTTTTTCCACGACCATGAGTAGAAGTTGGTTTCTATGGTCGCAAAATCATGTCAGAATTATCCATTCACGATCTTTATATAGCAAAGTAAGCTTTGATATTTTTTCTTTAAGTTGGATAAACTGATTGGATGATTTAGTTTTTTGTTTGTCAGTAGTCTGATTGACATTTGCTTTGAGCTGGATTGCCACTTTTCTACTTCATTCATTAGATCAGAATTATTAGACACAATTTGTTAATCAAGCAAACAAATGTTTTAATTTTGTCAACATAGATAATTTGTCATTGTGACAGATTCACAGATCATTGTGACATTATTTAAAAAGAAAATGCCTAAAATAGTTTTACCGCAACAAAAAATAGCAATAAAAAGATGTTTTTTCACTAGCAGCCATGAAGCATGCAAATGTCGACTCATTTAGAGGTAGCAAATTCAACTTTTGCGACCACGGGTTCAAAAAGAAGATTGAGATTATGTACGCAATACTTAATGTGATTATTTCTTAAAAAATGAATAAATGTGTGCTACTAACATTACTTGAGTATCCGCATGGTAGTTGGTAGACGGTAGAAGATAAAATGATTAATTCAGCGACGTGTAAACGGTTTTCTTTGTGTTGAAGATTTAAATTAAGTTTGATTAGAAATCAAAACAAAATCATGTTGCGTCAAAAAATTGAACGTTTATTTTTTCAATTTATTGTCTTATGGTTTCTACTAGTGAAAAAAATAGTATATTAACCACGGTTGTAAAGCCACTTCTAGACCTCGCGCTTCAGAGCCCTCGACGCTGTGCGTCTCGGGTTCCAATTTGCGCTCGGTCTAGAATACTTGGCTTTGCAACCTTGGCTAATAATATACTATTTTTACAATTTCGAAAACACAGGCCCCATTTTTCTTTGAAGAAGTAACTATGAGGGTCTCGAACATATTTTCTGTAATGTAAAAATACGCTGCAAAATATTTTTTAATTTTTTTTCTCATAGGTGGGAACATCAACTGTGGCGAAAATTTTGTCAACAGGGGATCAAAATTTAAAAACATCACTATCTGGCAGGCGAAAACCAACCGATTTATTAATTTATATGTTACGACAAATTTGGCAACTTAATGAAAAAAACGAATATTTCACTGTAGATACTCTTTTGGCATATTCTAGGGAACAGTTGGAATTTAAAGGGGGGCGAACCACATTATACAAAATTCTTAAGTCAATGAGTTATAAACACAGAGAAGTAAATGGTCGCAAAATTCTATGTGAATAAAAAAATGTCGTTGCAGCCAAAATGACTTTTTTCAGAACATATTTACAGCTTCTAAATTCTTGTGAAAATTTGACTTTCGTGTATTTGGATGAAACATGGATCTGTCAAAATGGTTCGTCTATTCGTCGCTGGGTGCACGATAGTGATCTTAAAAGCAATCCCACCAAAATTAAAAGTGAAGGATCAAGGTTTGCTATTCTCCACGCGGGTTGTTCAACGGGGTTCTTGGATGGTTGTAACAATTTTTTAAATTCAAAAAATAACGATAGAGACTATCATAAAACGATGGCCGGGACAATTTTTCAAAATTGGGTGGTTAATCGGCTCATTCCTGCTTTAGCAAAGTTGAACCAAAAATGTGTGGTGGTTTTAGACAATGCACCGTATCATTCGGTTCAGTTGGATAAACCACCCACTTTTTCTAGTAAAAAATGTGAAATGCAGGAATGGCTCTTTAAACATAGTGTTGAATTTGACAAAAAAATTTTGAAAAAACAGTTGTGGGATTTAATTAAACCCTTCAGGAACAATAGAAAAAAAAGATATTTGGTAGACGAGACATTAAAAGAAAGTGTCTATGAAGCTCTTAGATTACCTCCGCATTGTCAATATAATCCAATTGAAGTGGCGTGGGGATTTTGTAAGAACTATTACAACAAGCATATAAATTCTCAACCTTCATTAAAAAATAGGGTGGAGAGTGTATGGCTTGAGGCGCTTTCTAAATGTACTCCAAGCATGTGGCAACATTTTTGTAAACATTCTGAAAAACTTATTTTGGCAGATTGGGAAAAAATATGGGAAATCTTTCGTACGAATCTTTACCTCCTTTCATTATTTCGCTAGATGAATCTGATTCAGAATCTGAATTTGCAAATGACGGTGATGATACAGATTTTCATAGCGAAATAATGGAAATGGAGTGAATTGTAGCTTGTGGGGGGTGATATTTTTACGCATCTTTCGTTCTAAATTTACCAAGGTAGTGTGTGAAAAACTACCTGACGTACAACAAAATAAGTATAATTTTAGTTAGATCATCCACGTTGTTACTTTGCACCAAATTTTAAGCATTTTAATTTTTTTTTTGTAACTGTTCATGAACTTGGAGAAGGTGTATAGTAACGTTCTTATTAATAAGCGTTTGGAAGTACTTAGTAAAAGCAAATAAAGAGCACTTACATAAGCATTAGTAATAGCTATATAGATAAATCATTCAATTTAAGGCCGGAAAAATGTTTCAGAAGAGCTAAACCCATCAAAGCAATAGAGCAAGGTTGTTGTCTTTTACAAACCCTTTTAGTAATCTTAGAAAAGTGAAAAAAGAATTTGGAAGATATGGAAACAGGCTGTTCACAAAGGTCGAAATTTCCATTTCTAAGAAGAGTGGGCGGGCAGAACGAACTGATGATTGAGAATTAAAGATGAGATGCTAAATGTGGCATGCGACAATAGTCGTATGTAGAACCCCCATTCATATAAAAACAATGTTTAAGTGAAATTTAAGTGTTTGTTCCTTACATATGAAATAAACACTTACAAAAAGCCGAATAACTGTTTCAAATAGCGTAAAATTTTATACTTTCTAAGAAATGGATACCGTTAACTTGGTCATTGCTACTGAAAACTGAAAGTATCGGCAACAATGTTTATATTTCTGGCTTTTTTTTTAAGCTTTAACTTAATAAAACATAACCTAACGAAAAAAGTTCAGGGAATTTTTATTCTTCTGCATCGAATACCTACAAACTCACGAGATTTTCATAGCCCACCCTACTATATAAAAATCGTGAACGGATAATACATTTCATCCATAGAGAAAAAAACTCTCTAGGGAGTTTTATTTTTCAGGCAAGAGAAAACATTAACCACCAACTTTAATTCAATTTTTATTAACGTTAATATTAAAAGTAACATGTTTCACAGTGACATTGATGATACACTCGATGAAGCATTTAAATTTCCATCAGAAGAAACTATTCCTTGTAAAACATTGTTGGCAATATTTGTCGAGCAGTACGTTTTCTGAGTAGGTTTTCGCTTTCTTTTTTCTGCACCATTCACTGAAGCGGTTGTACGCTTTGTCGTACAAATCTCGCGATTTCTGAGGCTCTTTCATATCACAAAAACACTTGCTTGAACCGAAACTTGAACTAATTTCTTGAAACAATCACTTTTTTGATAGTAAACAAATTTTGGTTGTCATGGTATGCATTGAATATTTCCAAAACTCCCTAATAAATTTGTGAATGTTAAGCCCTTATTCCGTACAACTTTTAGCTGAATGAAATCTATCGTTTTGGTTCTTGGTTGTGAAAAAAATAGTATATAAACCACGGCAACGAAATGCATTTCGCCCTCAGCGCTTTGTCGCCCTTTGGCGTCAAATTTGCACTTCTGACGAAATCGAACATTTCGACCATTCATTTTTTTTTCGGCCGCTCATATTTTTATTTAATTTAAAAACACTACCAACGCACTTTCCTTAAACCATACACATATCAACAGAAAAATCATAAAGAGCTTGTTTCCGATAGGTGTCCCTATTTAAATAATCTTGTGTTCCTCTGGATGGTCTGCGAACGCTGCTTCGAGATTTTTCTGGAGCCCGGTGTCGAGACTTCCGGCAACCCGCTCCAGGTTTTTCTTTATACGAACGCCGCCCGGCCGCCGTCATCGGTGATAGGTCACCCATCATAGCCGTACATACTAGAAAGCCCTCGACAAAAACCCTTAGACCTCGAACCAGGGCGGCGTATAGGTTTATTAGGTGAAGTGTACACGCCAAATGCAGGAAGTAACCTCTATTTAAGCTTGGGATGGTAGGTGTCATCAATTTGCTTCGAGTAAGCTTCATTATTCGTTGTCAATGACAAGAGTAATGAAGGAGTCAAAGTCTTTATCTCTTGAGCTGATATATGAAATGTGGAGAACATTAATTTCAGTTAAAACCTTGAGAAAATTTGGATAATCCTTCTGACAGGTCCGCATCTTCGGAAAATTTTACAAGGATCTCTTATCACACAATAGATAATGTTATAAAGGTCTAAAACAGGTTTATTCAGATAATTTATCTGACGGTAGACTGGAATTTATAATTATTGCCGTTTGGGCTAGTATAGTTCTGGCAAATAGAAATAGCAACTTTTAAGGCCACAATAAAATTACCATATAATTAAGTAAGAACTTCTGTCGAATAATATTTATTAGGTACCTATTCTTCTACTTATGAATAAACATCTGCATAAGAAAGAAATGAAGATGAATCAAGCGAAGCGGCATTGAAAATAGGGCCGGTCTAGGTAAATGTTGTAATAAAAGGTGAGCTCGAAATACATTACAAATTTATTCATAACAATTACTTGAATATATATTTCAGAATAATTTTTGCAGTAGCAATATGAAGAGATTGCCCATGGCAAGTGTTACACATTGGAAAAAACGTCATCATTGTCAAATCTATACCAAAGCTTTTTCTTATTACCATGTATGATTGCATGTTGTGATGCATTTTCCCTGAGATTATAGCTAGCTAGATTTATTGTGCCTTTTAGTAAAATACTGTAGTCGGCTTGTCAAAAAGTTGGTAGATGGTATGATAATACATAAGACTGTAAGTAAAATAGTTATTACACAAGGATTACCGTAACCGCTAAATTTAGACTTGTTCATACTCACATCAGTAGGAGATGGCAGGTTATTATACGGTGGGGAAATTACTTATGGAATAAACTCAGTAATTGCAAAACTAATGATAATTGTCAAAAATGCCGAAATAGATCAATTTTTATTTATAATTATGCGATTTTTAGATTTATTTATACTTTTGAATGTAGTCCAAAAATAAAAGATATACAAGCTGTTTGATTAAACAAAAAGCTTGAGTGCATTTTCCACTGAGTCTGAAGTGAAAAAAATAGAAAATGTCATACGTAAAGTTCTTCATTGACCATATGCCTACAAAATTTCAAAAATAGCTGTTTCAGTGTCCAATTCCGGCACTTTTTGGGGCACCTGGTTATATACATGTGTATATTTCTTTTCTTTTAAAATTTGTACAATACATCCAATTTTACTGTTGTCTTTCTAACATTAGAAGAAAGTAATAAAGGGTAGGTTTTTCCTTTCGTATTACATAGAGCGCAAGAGGAACTATAAATTCGATCTTTGGGCTTCAATACACGGTTTGAAATTACCATCTGAACCGCATTTTTATATGTGAAGAAACTTTCATGTTTATTAAACAACTGGTATCTAACTTCACCATATTTTTTCTTTCAGATTATTTTTTTTTGAAGACCGGATGAATCAGCCCCCGTTTTTTTGTAAAATATGCCAACAACCCTTCAAAAACCGAAGACGCTTACGATGGCACGTAGTCACACACGGAGAAAAGCAGCATTGCTGCAGTTTATGCAACAAATCCTATTTTCATTTATCTGATCTGAAGAGACATCTTACCAGCCACAACCAAGACGAGAAGATCAACTGCCCCTTATGCGAAAGCGCATTTAGCTCGAAAACATATCTCCGTAACCACATTATTTACATTCACAACAGAAAATTCCCCTACAATTGTGATACATGCGAACAAGGGTACACCTCCAAAGAGAGACTGGAACTTCATCGCAGGACCGAACATGAAGGATTCCGCTTCGTCTGCGACGTGTGCGGGAAGATTTTCAAAGACCAGCGCCAGTTTAACATTCACACGAGGAAACACAATCCCGATCACGTGGAAACTGTGCACAAATGCGAAAAGTGTTTCAAGTTTTTCCACACGTTGGTTGCGTATAAACAGCATTTGAAGAGGCATGAGGGTGGTACTTGGATTTGCGAAGTTTGTGGGAAAACTTTAACTTCTAAAAGTGGTTTGGTTGTTCATAGGCGATTGCATTCCGGAGAAAAACAACATATTTGCCATGTGTGTGGAAAAGCTTTCGCTAAAAGAGAAGCGTTGATCGTGCATATTCGGGTCCATACTAAAGAAAAACCGCATCAGTGTAGCGTATGTGACAAAAGTTTTTCACAAAGAACTACTTTGGTTATCCATATGCGTCGTCATTCTGGAGAGAAGCCGTACAAATGTGATGTTTGTGGTAAAGGATTTGTTATCAAGTCTGGTTTAAATAAACACTCTTGCAAAATTAAGTCATGACTCCGAAAAAAGGAAACATTAGACTTGAATGTACCATTGGGTTTATGATTGTGTGCAATTTTGGTTTCGCTTTTCCATGTAATTTATGTTGATAAGAAAGTTTTACTCCATTGATAACTGGTCTGTTGATGTACTTTATAGCTTCTCAGTGTTCTATGTATTCTGATTCCTAAATAGAATAAAATTAAAAATGTCTGTATACATCGAAACGTGACGGAGTCTCCAAGTCAGTGCTGTGGTTGTTGTTTCGTTGGATATTGAAGAGATAGCGCTGAACAATAATTAGGTAAATGGTTATGTCAAAATTAAAAATTAATGTAATTATGATCATACAAGTTTTGGTTATATTTCGCATGAACGTTGAAAGTTGTGTTATATTTTAGGTTGTACCTAATAAATTCAGTTTTTCTTGAATTTGCAGTTTTGTCATTTATGTTTATGTATTTCTTATGATTGTGTTTGTTTAAAATGTATGAAATAGTCAAGACTTGAACGAGAAAAACAGGGCTATTGGAATGACCTACTTGAGCAGTTACTTAAAGTTTTTAAAATAATTTGCATGAAAATTACTGAGTTTTGCCAAGAATAACCCCATTAAAAAACAAAAGAAATTTCTTAGCAATACCATGATAATTTTCTTGATGCCGAAATTTTTGTGAAACGTAGATGGAAGGATGGCGAGCGAAACAAACGAAACACATTTTACAACTGAAGAATTTTACGGTCTTTTTATAGACATTTCTCAAAAATGTAAATTATACGTTCTAAAACTAGGACAGTATACTTACAGTTCGGTGTAATAAAAAATACGAAATATACAATTTCAATAACCAATTGTATAAAATCTGACTGTGAATAGGTATTTAACATAGAATGCAGCTTTCCATGGAACTAAACACAAATCTAGGCCGTGTGTTCTTATTTTACCATTACTTTTGTTACTAAATTATTCCCTCTTTTAAAAATACCGTCTGAAACTCCAAGTATGATAAAACATGTTCTGGGTACCTGTGTACAATTTTAAAACCTTTTAATTCCTCATTATTTACTTTGAAAAACCGAATTACGTAGAACAAAAGTAATTAATTAAATTCCCTTACATCAGAAAAGTTAGTACAAATACGATGAAATTTATTCCATATCGTAGAATTCTTACAATTTTGGCAAGGTGTTGTAAAACGATATATTCTTGTTTCTGTCTTCGTCTGACACAGTATGTCGGGGGAAAACAGAAACATACCAGATGTCGTTATTAGTTATTAGTTATACAGCACCTTGCGAAAACTAAAGGAAATCTAGTGTTTGTTAGAAATTCAAGTATTCAAACCAAAGAATCTGTAACTCAAAATAAACAATATTTACTTACGTTACCTCCTCCGTCCACTAGACCATTTTTGCAGTCAAACTTCAAGAGAATTTCAACTTTATAGTTATTATATAGTATACCCCGAGAAATTAGTTTCTATTCTAAATTCTAAATTAGGAAAATGTTGCCAGTTTATTGTGATATTAATTAAAACCAAATAACCTTTTAGTTGCTGAAAAACACGAAATAAAACACGAATGGTTGTACTGTAACCTCATTTGACATACACCTGTTAAAACTCTGGCTATTGTAAGCTTTGTGAATCCGAACCGCAAGATTATTACTGTCCATTGTTGGCATAATGTAGCTGTGAACTGAGTTAAGTAGTACAATAGTCAGTTTGACTTATAAGGGTGGTTTGGCGTAAGCCGCTTAGATCATAAAAGTTTTAAAAGGGGTATGTCAAATGAGGTTACTTTAGACAGAAGATTTCGAAGCATTCGGTTTTGCAGTTCTTGATTAAATCAATAAAGTAAATTCACGGATTCATTAATTTTTTTGTGTCACTCTGTATAAACCAATCCAAAAAAATATGAATAGAATGACAAATCCCAGGTACAAATTTTAGACATTTTAGGTAGGATTTATTTCTGCAAAATTTGGAGCTGACGGTAATCAATTTTTGGAGGGTAAGCAAATATATTTTGATTAAAAATTTATCATGCTTATCATAACTTTAAAATATCTGCAAGATTTGAAAGCATTCGGTTTTGCGAATTCAAAACTAAAATGCAAAATGTTCTTTCATAATTTTGATTTTTTTCCCCCAAAAATCTGGACGTTTCGGGTAAAAACTGAACACGACGTCATAAATTGCATGTGTAGGACTATGTTATTTAATACAATTTAAAACACATTTGCTATGTGCAATTTTGGAAGGGACGTCATCACATTCTGGTTAACGTTTTACCATCTACATTGACAACACTTGACCCAGTACTTTAGGTTATTATCTGTCTAATAAAAATCCGGGACGGCAGACAGACGAACAGACAGACAGACGGAAACGGGAGACCTATTTGTTCCTACTCTAGGGGTCATGAAAGGTCGAGTAAACGTAAAATTATAGAGTCGCTTACGCTCGTGAACAAATTCCACAGCGGTTAAAAGAAAATGAAATTAATTGATGTTGGATTGAGGACTGATTAATTATTTAAGCACACAGCATTCGGTTTTGCAATTTCAAAGTTAAATTATTGTAAAGTTTTGTTATGCAATTTTCAACTTTTTCCGAAGTCACATAACGGGAGTATGTGATTATATACAATTTATAGAACATTTATTCGAAAAAATCGCAAAACGGCGTCATCATTGTTTTGGGGGCATAAACTGCAAGATTTCGATTAACGATTTTCTATGTTTACGATAAAACTTCCAAGATTTCAGAGCATTCGATTTTGCAGTTTCAAAATAAAATTAAAATGTTATTATACAGGGTTTCTATAAATGATTATAGGGTCGTAGTAGGTCATGTAAACGTGCCGCCTCTTCGATTTGAACCGTACTAAATGCCCAAGGACGCATGACAAAGACCATACACATCTGTATAATTGGTTGCCTAGATGCTTCATATCTTTTTAAAAAATAAAACTAATTCATTGCAATAAAAAGAAACAAATTTATTGCGGTTAAGCATCACAGTAAATGTTGAAAATGTTCACCATTTTGTTCAAGGCCCATTGTTCAATTTCATGTTGCAACAGAGACTCGTGACTGTAGAGGAAATTTTGTCAAAGATGTTTGCGGATTCTGCTCAAGTTGTCTTAAATCATCAACAACTTCCTCAGATACTCAACGTCTTCCCCGAGATGTCTCTTTGTTGACGCTGCCAGTTCGAACAAATCTGTTGATTACATCTTTAATGTGAGTCTTTAACGATGTTTCTTGAATTATTAAATCTCGGTATTTGGCCAAATATTCTTGCTTACAAGGGGTTACAGAATACACAAACTTTTCGTTTACGAAGTCTCCTAGCACCAAAACAAAATTTTCGTACGCAACCATCAAGAGTTTTGAAAACGACTGTTTTGTTGTTTTGAGCTTCGATCAACGAGAATTACTGTAAATCACACTTGAAAAACTTTAAAACAATAAAAACGCCGACTTTAAATGACAGGTTACAAATGTTATTAATGACAAGTGAGAACGTCATAGTGAGGCATAATTTCGAAATCCATGGCCAACTACGCCCTTAGAATCATTTATAAAAGCCCTGCACAATTTTTTTTTTCCAAAAATCTGGGTGTCTAAGGTCAAAACTCAACACGAATTCATAAACCACAAGTACATCTTACTTTATAAAATCTAAATAACATTTACCAACGTAAATTTTAGAGATGACGTAATCCTATTTTTGGTAGAGATGATTAGCCAAAACTTGATTAGCGTTTTACCATCTAGACGATATTTCTACTAAAAATATAAAATTTCAGAACAATCGGTACAGTAGTTTCAAAGATTAGCTATTCTTTCTTTCGATGATGTAGAGCAATCATAATTAATGAATAGTCAGTCTTCAGGGAGGTATTTTTTTCTGCCAAGTGATTTAGTTTACAATTCAAAATTTACGCTTATTCTAATAAAAAAGATAATTGTAACTAACAAATTATTTTCAAACCGAGTGATATATACTTATTTTAAGTGTAATGATGCAATCGAGTTTACCTATATTTTCTTTTGCAGCTAAACGAAAACGACGATTTCTCTTCATAAATAATAATAATATAAGCGAAACGCAGATTCAACTACTTTGCATTTGATGTCTTAACATATTGTTAAATCTAACACCCCGAGATTTGTTTTGTGGCGCTATTAAAAAAAAAGTAATTTTATGCCTTTCACAAGCATGAGAGATTAACAAATCAAATCCTATTACAGTGTAAACGATTAAATCAAAAAATTTCTTTAATAACAAATATTCATAGTAAGTAAGTTGCGTCTAAGAACTTATAGAGATCGCTTTTGAATCTATCAAATTGTCTCAAATTAACATTGCTTTTTTTTTCCTTCATTAGTTAAACGAAAATGTCAAAACAATTACTTTCCAATTAGTGCCACTACAAAAGGAACAACAAACTGAAAAAATACACGTAATAATATAAGAGCATCTATATGAAAACAAAAAGTTGGTTGTCGATTTCAGAAAAACTTGATATAGTTGTAATTTTTCCCTGCATCAGCGTTCAGTTTACCTGAATTAGGGAGAGGGTGAGGGCCATTTTGCGCCCCGCTCCCCTTCCTATGGGTTTACTTGAGGCATGGCATTATAATCCGAGAGTTGACGACAGCACCAATACGTAACTGCCTACTGGGAATGGACAGTGTACATCCATGTGAAATTAACTCTTCGCAACCATCAGTGATTTTCTGCGTAACATTTTTGGTCCTTCGACCCGGATTTCGGACAACAACAGTGTCGGTGTTTATCGTTGATTATTATACACTCCACGACTAGGATGTGTTTTAGGTAGTATAAAGTTTTCACCACCAAGGCGAATCCCCGACAGCGTGGACATGTGCCATAGGGGTAAGTCCATTTGTTTTCCGAAATGAGCGATACCGTGATTTATACATGTTTATTTATATAATAACTGCACCTGATGTTCGGATACAACCATGCTGAACAAGTACCTGC